AAGCCCAATACAACAAATAACAAATAAATAAATAATAATAATATTTACAACACTCCCCTCTCAAGCTGAGGAATAAATATTTATCATTCTCAGCTTGCTAGTAAGTTCTTGAAATCTGTCTAAAGGAAGCCCCTTGTCAATAGATCAGCTAATTGACGCCCAGTGGGAATGTATGGAGTGGTAATCAACCCGCTATCAAGTTTCTCTTTGATGAAATGGCGGTCGACCTCAATATGTTTAGTCCGATCATGTTGAACTGAATTATGAGCTATACAAATAGCGGACTTATTACCACATAGCAGCTTCATAGGTCCCTGACATTTTATGTTGAGATCATCAAGTACAATTTTCAACCACAGTAACTCACAAATGCCTTGAGCCATAGCTCGAAATTCAGCTTCTGCACTTGATCTGGCAACCACATCTTGTTTCTTACTTCTCCATGTCACCAAGTTACCGCAAAGAAACATGCAATAACCAGTGGTAGAACGACGGTCAGTCACGGATCCAGCATAATCAACATCTGTGTAGACTTCTAAAGATAGATTGCCATCACGTCGGAATAACAATCCTTTACCAGGAGTACCTTTAAGATACTGAAGAATTCTCTCTACTGCCTGCATGTGTTTTTCCTTTGGATCGTGCATAAATTGACTGACAACACTAACAACATAAGCTAGGTCTGGTCTAGTATGGGCCAGATATATCAATTTCTCAACTAGCCGTTGATATCGTCCTTTATCAACTGGAGGACTCTCTTCTTCATAGCCCATCTTGTGATTCTGCTCAATAGGAGTATTAGAGGGTTTACACCCGAGCTTTCCTGCTTCTTTGAGAAGATCAAGAACATATTTCCTCTGGTTGATAAAAATTCCTTTGCTTGAATGAACTACTTCTATCCCTAAGAAATATCTCAGTTTCCCAAGGTCTTTGACTTCAAACTCAGAAGCAAGCCGTGTTTGCAGAATCTGTCTCTCCACAAAATCATCACCTGTGATAATAATATCATCAACATATACAAGGAGCAACTTGAAAAAGAGTATTCTAATATATTATAGAATTGTAAATCATATGTAGGTTCTCTATTTATAGAGAATACAAGACCTAGAATACTTGACCTAATGGGCTAAGCCCAATACAACAAATAACAAATAAATAAATAATAATAATATTTACAACAGTCACTAACATGAGAAAAATTTTCTCCTTTGAAAGGATAAAATGTTTTCTCATATATATATATTTACTACCATTTTAGTCTTACTACTCTTACTATCTAATTGATTAATGTTGGATCAATTTGAAATCAATTGGGTGTTAATTTTTTCATTTTTAACCATTTTTGGTAAGCCTAACTTACAAAAATAAAATAAAAATAGTAAGCCTAAAATAATAGTAAGTACAATCGTTCATCTATTTATATATAAGTTAATTTTGTAGGTTTAAAAAACCTTTTTAAAGATTTTTAAAAGTTTTGACCTAACCTTTTTTATTAAAGGGTTCATTTTTTCTGCAGTTAGTGCAGATAAGTTATCTGCAGTAAGCCCAATACGACGTCGTTTTGAAGCAAAAATCATGGTATTTTTGTAATTTTATTTTATTTCAGGGTTATAATAGTCTTATATTTATAATTTTTTAAGATTTCAATACCACAATGACATCGTTTTAAGAATAAATACAAATAGCTTATTTACAGTAACTGCAGAAATATTTTTCCCTTTACTAAATGGGTTAAGCCAGGTTAGTTTTCCAAAAAAATAAAAAAAATAAAAAGTCAGGTCAGATTTCAAACAAGTCAGGCGTATGCTTATTGGGAGATTAGCTGATCTGTTCCCATCCCCAGTAAAAGGAAAAATTTATATCTGCTTATTCATCAAAACTCAATTTCTAAAACGTACTAAAGTTTTTCATCATTTTTTTTGGTAGTAATTTTCCATCTTTTTTAATTTATACAAAGATTAATTAAATAAACTTATATAATACAGCACTGATACCAAATAATTAATAAAATAGTAATATACCGTATTAACTTTAGCTTAATAAATACGCTGCGCTAAACTCCTATCGCCTGGTTTTTAAACGGAAAACAGTTGATAGGTATACTAAGATTAGTGCATATTTAACTAAAGAAATATTATTCTCCTTTAATATAAGGTAATTTATCTCATTTTCTTTCACTTCGATTTTCGCACTCTACTTTTTTCTTTTTTTTCTTTTTTCTTGTAATGGTGGAACCCATCTATTTTCTCTCTACAACATAATATAACTATCTTATGTAAAAGGAGATTAATAAAACCCATTTAAGTAAAATGAAGTTATGTGAGACAATTTTAATTACTCATAAAGAAATTGATAATTAATTTTTATAACTTTTATCCTGATGCACCTTCCATACTGAATGATTTTTCTATAATCAGTTAAAATTATCCCAGAGAACCACAATCCACTTAGGTGGTGTTTGGTTTGAAGCTTTTCAAGAGATATTTATGTTTCTCAAGTATGGCTTTTAGAAACACCATGTTTATTTCAACATATTTTCACCAAAAACCCATCTATGCAATTTGTATGGATTTATGAGAAACATAGATATCCGCACTGTTTAGAAACCCAATTTGAAGGTAGGATTATTTGGAAAATGGGTTATCTCACTTTTAATGCATTGTTGATTTCATAAAGTTACTTAATTTTCTCAGTAAAGTTTTTCACCACCAAACAACTTTTTTTTATATTTTTCTATCTATCTCACTTTCCAATCATTTCTCTATCTATTACATTTCTCTACTATTCCAAAAAAATTTCCTCAACCAAACGCCCCCTTAATAAGATCCATTCCCAGAACGAGTTTGCTCAATAACGGAAGGCATGGAACATTTGCCATTTCTTTGGCTGTGTTTGGTTCAGGGATTCTAAAAATTTCCCCATCTAAATGCACGTGGCAATCCTTGTTCTCCTTGTTTGGTTGAAAAATTTTATAATTTTTATCCATCAAACACATTTGTCTATTTAAGTAGAAATGTGTGTTAAAAAGGAAAAAAAACACTGTTAATGAATCCTTATTCTAATGTGGTATTTATGTCAGAATCCGAGAATCGAAAAAATTGCGTGAAGAGAGTGACATTAATACCCCTCTATGATATATGTTCTTAATGGTTCAAAATTGTATAAAAATGGTTACTTTCGTAAATTTCATCCATTTTCCCATCAAATTTTTATTTTTAACCAAACATACACTCAACATATTTAACCCAATTTTTTCACTAATATTTTACGGTACCAAACAACTTTTTTTATATTTTCTTACCAAACTCATTTTTCAACCATTTTCTTATGTATATCATTTTCCGATTATTCATAAAATTTCTTCTCAACCAAACATCCCTTAAGGGGGTGTTTGTTTCAGGATTTTGGTAAATAATCCTGGGGAAGTGTTGCCTGAAATCTGATTAAACCACGTTTGGTTCCCCAAATTTTCAAAATTTATCCAGCTATCGTTGTTTCCTATCTAAGTTGAATTACACGTAATTTCTTGAAAATTTACTGTTACAGAATGCTTTTTGGATGGTGGTATTATGTGTAAAAACTGGATAAGTTGCAAAATTGACAAAAGTGATAATAATTGGTGACCGTAATACCCCTCCCTCACACATGACCAAAGTACGCCCAAATAGGCACAAAAGTGGAGATGGAGTCAAAAAAAGCCAAATGAGCATGGATGGCTGGTCAGGTAATCAATGTTTAGGAATGAAATTTTTTGAGTCCTGTTTGTGGATCTCAACTGACAAATTCATCAATGTTCAAGGGCAATGTTTAAAAGGATAGTTTCGTAAATTCAGAACAGTTTCCTATCATTATTTTATATTCAACCAAACACACTTTTTACGAATTTCACTTAATTTTCCTAATAAAATTTTACTCAACTAAATAATTTTTTTTTACATTTTTCTACTAAACTCAGTTTTCAACCGCTTCCATATCAATTACATTTTTCTAATATTTAAAAAATTTCAACTCTGTTATCAAAAAAAAATAAAAAATTTCAACTCAACTAAACGTCTCAGAGAATGTAAGTACAAAAAGCTAGGAAAGCGGGATTCTGAGATTTGGAGGTTTTGGACAAACAAGAAGATCTTTATCCATAATCCGGAGAAGAACCACCCGCTCGCAAATAGGGCGGGAATAATAACGATCGTACTTGCCAACAAGGCCACATTCCATGCATCCTTTCAGCCAAACAATCAGCACCGTATTCCTGAATCCTGGTCCCTCCCTAACCCAAACCAACCATAAAAGAGAAGAGATTTTTAAGCGTTTTGTCAAGAAAATTTTCTTACTTTATAACAATTAATATAGGGGTTATGTTATATTAGAAAAAACAAATTTTTTACACACACATCAGAAAGATGTGTATTGAATTTTTTATTTTAAAAGCTATAGATAAAGTGACCCACCAAAAATTGGTATAAATTAAAAGAGGTAACACGTAACAGCTTCTGATTGGTCAACTTGCCCTCCACTCAGAGACACCTCGCACTGATTGCCTTGTGAATTCTGATGCAACATGTCCCGCAACTTGACTACACAGGGCATTCACTTTCCCAAACTGAGCAAACCAGCTGTATTCACAATCAACGGTCCACGATGGCTACTGGCACCAAGACAATTGAAATCAACGGTGGAAAATCGCCAAATGTCAACTTTCGTGTCAGTTTGCTTTCAGTCTTCTTGCCTTGGATTACTCCACCCTCATCCTTTTTAGTTTCACCCACACACCTCAGGTGCTGCACTCAGTGCTCTCACTTCATTACTTCCTTTCTCTCTCACTCTCTATATTCCTCTGCAACTCTCTCTTACTCTATTCTAGGGTTTTCAGTTTTGAGTTTTCTCCATTGTTCAGGTTCCATATTCTCCATCTCTATTTACCGTTCTGCGGAGCGGTTTGTTCTGAACTCTGATCGTTGCTAGTGTTGTGATTCTTCTGTATTTTTTTTCGAGGAATGTTAGGGTTTTTAAGAGATGGAGAGCTCGTGGCAGATGAAATGTGATTCGCCATTTCAGCAATCGGCATCTGTGGCGGTTTCGTCTGCACCGTTGCAGGAGCCTAGGGGTCAGGTAACTCGAATGTGTTCTTCTTTTGGATTCTACTTGTTTCCGTTTGTTTGTTTCGGCTCTCTCTACCTGTGATTATTTCCTCATGCGCATAGTGTGTTTTGGTTGTGCGTTCCGTTGTTTACAGTTTAATGCGGTTGTGAACGTTCGTTTTGCTTGAATGTTCTTATGTAAAAGCGTTGTATGGTCGTTTTTCAGTTGGCATTGTTGTTCTAATTCAATGTAATGTTGCAAGGTTTAACGGCGATGACAATGTAAAATGCCAGTGAGTTGATTTTTTTTATATTTTTCGCTACGTTTTCTTATCTTTGGATGAGTAACATGAATCGACGCAATTAAAAGGAATCATATATTGCGTCATGTGATAAATAGTGGAATTTTTTTTTGCTCATGTTTATTTAAGTTTCGAGTCCTTTCTGAAATTCCAATGGTGAAATCTACTTCGAATGCATCCAAGCTTGTATGTATGTAACCTTTGTTTAAATTAGTAACTAGTGATATGGTTTGTAATAATGTTTAATTATTTGCTTTCTATTGCAATGAAATTTAAGTTGAGATATTGCAGCAGTTTGATCGGGTACACTATTTGTAACAAAATTTCTTGCTCAAGGAAAGTCCTCGGCAAGTGGTAAAGCCTTTTTTTTAAATGGAAATTATGTATCTGCTCAGGCTCTACATGTTTTCTGGTTTGAAGTTTAAATATCACGAGAAAGAAATAAGATGTTTGGAATTTTCCAGATGTCGTTAATTTTTTTAAATTAATAACATCCTTACTCATTCCCAAGACAATGGAGAAATATTATTTCCATCTGGTTATGCACTAATAAGCTGAAGGGAGTTTATATTTAGTTTGAAATATGTAGTTTGTATAACCTTTCAGAGCAATAACAATAAGTTTTCATTCCAACTTAAGAAAATTTTATTATTAAATTCAATATTATTTTTGGTCTCATCACTGGTCCTTTACCACAGCTGTGACCTATTATTTTGATATGCTTTTATGCGGAGGCTACTGCTGACAAGTAATCAGTGGCCCAGTGAAAAGGACACATGCTTCAAAATTCTTTTTAGCACAATGGGGAATTTTTTATAATATTGGCCTTCGGGATTATTATTCTCTTCAGAATCTGCGACTTTGCATTTAAGATTTCTAAATTTTTGATGAAACAGTTTGCTTTTGCCTTTTAGAATGTGTTTCTGTTTCTCAGAGAAGATCAATGTGTGTTATTAGTATCTCTATTATTATAACTCCCTCATCCCTGCTTTTTAAATAGATGGAGATGAATGCTGGCCATTGTCTTTATCCACGAGTTTCTCATGGTTTAAGATCAAAATTTGTTGGAGGGATGCAAGACCCTGTTTGCCCCAGCTTTCTTTATTCAACCAATCAAGGATCAGTCCATAACAATGCTGGAAATTCATTTCTTCCTCTCCTTAATGGTCCTCCATCGTTGTTACAGGGTGGTTCCAATGGGTTGTCCGATCGAAAGCTTTGCACCTCATCTGGTAATTGTACTGCTGCTAGTGGGAATTCTATTGTTGATTCTATAGAAAGTGGAAACTTCCTAACATCCAGTGGGGGGCTGATAACAGAAAATTTAGTGATTCATAACCTGCAAAGCTGGGCAGATACTTTTCCTGATAATTCTTACAGGGAAATGGTTGGTCCGAGTAGTGGTAGTAATTTTGTATTTCATGATATTCAGAGTAGTAATACTGCTGCCCAGCCCACAGTTCCTGGTGGCGAGAAGGCAAAGGAGCCTTTTTCTTCTATGGGGCAATGCTATAGTACAAGCCTTGCATCTAGTCTAAATGTTTGCCGCTCAGATATTCAAACTACATCAAATATGGCTTTGGAACAGTGCTCGTCTAAGCATGCAACTCCTTTTATGAGTGGGTGTCCTCGTGTGTTCTGCATGGGGAAAAGTGAGTACTAGAAGCACATATTTTCCTATGGGTTAAGGTTTATCCTTTGTACATATATTGAGAACTCACTTCTATTGTTAATTTCAAAGGTGGTCATCTTCTTCTCAGCAATACAGGGCTTCTTGGTATTGTTTGCTCATGCCATTGTTGCCACATGTCCGTCCTCAAGTTTTGTGAGGTAAATTCTGTCAAAACTGGTTCTTCTCTGTAGTGATGATTAGCCACACCATGTCCACATTTCATGCTTAATGGTCCATCTGTTCTGATATTGCAGCATTCAGGGTTACATGGTGTCAACCCAGGGGATGCGGTTCGTATGGAAAGTGGTGAGACCATTGCGCAATGGCAGAAGTTATACTTCTTGAAGTTTGGGGTAAGACGAGGCTGTTATGAAATTTAATGGTTGGTGTTTCATCATGTATATGTCTGGCTTTTAGAGATGAAGAATGTGCTTACTTGATCTCTTGCACTTAAACAACTACAAAGAGATCTTTCTTTGGTGCCTTTTCGGGCTTTTCTTTTTAAAAGAAAAACTGCTTCCAAGAATGACTGAAATAAAAGAAGACAATTTTTTTCTTTACTATGATTTAAGATCTTATATCCCCAGCATTTACTGCAAAGGCTTCAAATGTTTTCGGATTCATGTTTTGACTGTGGGAACAGAAAGATTGTAGAGAAAAGGGAGAATGAAAGAGAATCTGTTTTCGATGACTGAAAGTGTTTCCCTTTTTACATCTGAGCTACTTCTAAGTTTTCAATACTCCCAAATTTGAATCCTCTCTTCTACTCTCTCCCTTTATTTAAGCTTATTCCCAACACCTAACAACTTTAACACCCAAGTGCTTCACTTCTTTAACTATTCTAACTACTCTTTAAGCCCTTGTCGATGCCATTCCCTTGGCCTCAAGTTGGGAATTTGGGATTTTTGTTGCAAGAGGACTTCCATTGTTCACCTGCCCACCACATCTGACATGTGCATTCTGTTGCCTCCCCAGCACCCAGTGCTTTGTCCTCTTGCCTATCCACCTGTACAATCTCACCTTGTCATCTAGTTGGTTGTCTTTCGCCTAGATATTGACCTGCGAGCTCTTTTCTATGGCATTTATGTAATTGGTCACATTGAAAGCGTCCTGGGACAACGACCCATTTGCCACGTTTTTCCTTCTTAATTATCAAAATGCTACACTTCAGAAATATTTTTTCAGAATGCCATGTTTCAGGATCCGCTATCAGTAAAAAGGAGTCCTTTTTGCTACGTGTCTAGTGCTGAAGGCATGCTCAGGACCCACTATTAGAAAAAGCACTTGGACACGATGACCAAGATAATAGGTACAAGACTTGTCAAGAGGACCATCGGGTCCTTTGACCATTTTCCACAAAAAAAAAGTCAAGCTTAGAGGACATGTTCATTATTGCTTTTTTCTCACAATAGGATTTTATTTGTTGAAACTAGCAACTAGAATCCTTATTTCTACAATAAAATTAATTGGTACACTTGGATTTTTCTATCTCCTACTTTTTTTCCGCATCGATCATCTTTTCTGAAAACTAATCATCACATTTGAATTTAAGAATATGAAATTTTGAACAAAAAAAGTAAATTAGTTTGCAAACCAAATAAATTGGCCGCAAACATGATTTTAAGCTGTACGGTTGAGATTGCACAGTAATTTACTTCTTTGTTTTAAATTTTAGATTCTAAAATTCAAATGTGATAATTAGTTTTCAGAGAAGATGATTGATGCAAGAAAGATAGAAAAATCCTTGTTTGCAAATTAATTTTACTGTTGAAATGAGGATTTTAGTTGCAAGTTTCAACGAATAAAATACTAATGTGAAAAAAAAGCAATAGTGAACATGTCCTCCTGTGCCTAAGGTATTGTTTTTTAAAACTTGTCAAAGGACTTGCTGCTCCTCTTGACGGGTCTTGTTCTTGTCATCTTGGTCAGCTTGTCATTTCAGAAAAAGCGTGTCCTGGACATATCTTCGGCACTGGACATGTGGCAAAAGGGACCCGCTTTTCTTGACAGCGGGTTCTGAAATGTGGCGTTCTGAAAAATTGTTTTTGAAGCATAACATTTCGATATTTAAAGGTGGAAAAACATGGCTAATGGGTCGTTGTCCCAAGCATCCCCCCTCTTCTCTCCTTTTGACATGCTCGATACTGGAGCTTTTTGGCTCCATTGTTGCATGTTGTAGGTGAGCTACCGGTGCTGGACTTCTCTGCTATCAGGGTTGAAGCTCCACTCCCTCCTTGCATATCCCTATTTGAGCAGTGGAATGGGCCATAGAAATTTCTACGAGGGCCTGATGCTGTCTGCTTCCGTATAACACTGGATGAGCCAAGTTTGGTAGAACTCACTGCAGACAGTTTGGTAGAACTCACCAGGTTGGTTTTGGTGGCTCAGGTGGCTCTCTATGCAATAATGTGGCCGTGTGTATGCTGACATGTTATCGCATAAATGTGGCCACAATTCCTCAAAGGCATCAGAAATGTATGTGCTACATGTTCTTCAAGGATACAAATGTACCAAGGAATAACATACAAACTAAACTAACATGATCTTCTTTGCATGCATTATCTGACACTTGATGGGCGAGGAAGCAAAGTAGCAAACCATCTAGCCAAGCCACACTACTCTTTTACTACAAACAATTATATTTTGCATCAAAGCTTACCAATGGATAACATGAAAACAAATGTTGAAGTTTAATATTTATTTGAAATTTTGAAATAAATGTTGTAAACATGAATTATCAAATTAACATTTTATGAAATAAAAGTTTAAAATTTAATATATTTATTAAAAGTGTCACATACAAATTAGATTTAAATTTCAAAAAGAGGATTACTCTTACGCCCGGAAGTTTTTAACTTATTTTCTGAGAATTTTTCATATATATTATTAACAATATTTTTTTTTGAAAAGTCTTGTTTGACTCATTTAAACCCTTTGTACCACCAAACCATTAACTGCTTTCCATTCTGGTTCATTCAGTCTAGTTTTCAGAACATTAATGTGCTTGGATCAGGTGTATTGCCGCCTTTGAATAGCAACTACCATGGAACAATAATAACTTTTTATAGTTTAGACTTTAGACAGCCCAAATATGCGTATCTCATGAGCATGCTCATTATGGTGTGATAGTTATTAACACATTCATATTGTCATTTATATGTGAGGGCTCTAGCTAGGTGATAAGAAGAGAATGAATGATGTTGTCAACTTAATGTATGTGCAAATTATGATAAATTTGTATATTCTTTTACCTGTATTTCCTTCGTTTTTGGCATTGAGAGTTGAATTTTTTATTTGGATGTGTTTGAAGCAACGAGAACACTGGATGGTGATACTTTTATGATGCTTTAGATTAGGTCTCGGGGAAATGAGAGTGAATGGGACTGGCCCGACGTATTATCAGCAACAGGCAGTCTGCTGAAATCCAACTCATCTGCATCTGATATGTCCAAGAGTGATTTGTCTCATATTTTGAGTTCATCTGCTGTTATATTAAGGTCTGGAAAGTCTTCTGACTGTGTTATGTTTCCGAAGAATACAGACCACAATTTATTTACTGGTCCATCATCCAGAAAACAACCGACAACAATCCAAGATGGTTGCAACATTCCGTTCAAAGGTTGTACTGGTATTTCACAAAGCAACTTGTATGACCGGGTGAAAAGCCAATTAATGGAATCTAATCTGGCTATGTACACAACTTCACCAAACTTTGTTGGAACTCAACTGGATGATGGTTGCCAGCCTATGCCCCCTTTCCTTGATTCTCTTAAAAGGAATGGAAATTTGTCAATTGCCCACTCTCCTTCACAAACTCCAACAAGCCTTCTGAAAGACCTTGAATGCATAAAAAAGAAGAATGCCAAGGATGGTCTTGTAGGCAGAGATGCAGCTTCCTCTAATATTGAGCTTAGGCTTGGTCAACCACCTCAGACAGGAAATCCAGTTCCATCATTTATAGAACCACCAGAGTTTACTGCCCTTGCCAGTCCTCCGAAATTGCAACCTCTGAAGCAGATGATTAATAGTGCGTTGAATCAGTGTTTTCTCTTATCTGATTGTTTTGTTATATTGTTTCTATTGTGCATGCAGTGTGTACTCATTTTATTTCTCATTTTAGCGAATACCTCTTAACAATGGATTTTGTACATAAGATGCAGACCTCAGCAGCGAGGAGGAATTGCAGAATAGTTTTAGCTATGCTGCTGGTTCATTCAAAATGGTCGAAGAGCAACCTCAGCTTAAACCCAGGAACTATATGTCTGGTGTTAGTAATGCTTCTGGTGCTGCTAGAGCTAGATCAGAAACTGTCAATGTGGCCAAGGGTTTATCATTTTCACCATTTCCACAGTTTACTCCTCCACCCAAGGGAAAGACAAAAGCAAGTGAAAATTTGGTGAATGATGGCGGGCCTATCATGCCCAAGAAACTGCATTCTGAATTTAGTACCATGCAGTTTGGTCCTACTAATGTTCTCTGGAATAGTAATGGTAACACAGGAATGCAATTGAATTCGCCAGGCTCCAATAAATACGTGGACAATCATAAAGGCGTGACCTTTGCTAAAGAATCTTGTGCCAAAACAAATTCTGAATTTGGTATTGCTCAGTTAATGGAATATCCAAGCGGCATCCTGAGAGCTGTTGGTGGCAGTGATAGCTGTATTTCAGCTGTTAATGGAAAGATCTATGAATCACATGATGAACCAAGCTTGCCATCAGATACATTTGTGGGTGCAAAAAAAGTGTCATCTTTTGGACAAGACAATCACGTGACTTCAGGGACAGCTATTCCATTTGAAGGAATTTTGAGGGGTCTTCCCTATCTTGTTTCAAGCTCTACATTAAATCAGACCCCTACTTTGGTGCAGCAGGGCATTAATATGGATACTAATTTGCTTGATGAAAATATGAGGTTGGTTGCATTGACACAGATACAGGAGTTATCTAAGCAACAACATGCATTGCATTCTCGTGAAATGAATCAAAAGCAAGGGAGATTCAGCAATATTTCCAAAGTTCAGCACTATATACACGAGGCTTCAACATCTGAACAGGGTACTTCTGATGCATCATTGAAATTGCCCCAAAATAGAGGGACTTGTCGAAACCATGAGATTACTGATGGATTAGAGAAACTGGCTTCCCTCACAGGTAAGCACAATGCATTTTTCTTTTTCCCTACTTAACTGTTTTTTTGAGAGTTTGGTCTTGCACGGTTTGTGGACTTTTTTTTAGTATGCATGTTTAATGGTTGTTATCTTTCTTACAGGTTTGAACAGATACTGTTGTCTCTCTGCCTTGGTGCCAATACCTTTACATTCTCAAGAAAAGGAATCACAATGTAAACAATTCTATGATCTTCAAAGTGAAGAGCCAGCTTTGAGGTGATTGAATCACACTTGTTGAAACTGGAGCAGATTTTCTTCTTCTTATAATTTCTTTTCAAGCATTTTTAATGAGTAATTTTCTCCTCAGAAGCTTGCATAAATTGATTTTAAATGTCATTGACTGTAAAAGTTTGGCATGTGAAGTAAATGTGAAATTATTTGTTTCCAAACACATTGATGGATATACACAGGTGAAATCATCCTTAAGGGACAAATAAGCAAAGGAGAAAGGAGCTTGAACATTTAATTCTATTGCAAGAATATATTAAGATTTTGAACATTTAATTCTACTGCAGGAATATATTAAGAACAAGGGTATTGCAGTTTTCTGTATGCTGGGATAACTCCTAAAACTGGCAACTGTTTAAAAATTGGTTGCTTGTGTTTCTGTGTTGTGCATGTCATCGTGGCTATTGATCCACAAACATCGTTCTTTTTCCATTCTTTATTACATCTTGTCAGATCAAAAACCTGGGTTCTATTTATACTGTTGTTTGCAAACTTTTCCTACATCTGAAAACCACACCTCTAACCAAAATTTTTTCCTCCTTTTCTCTCTCTCCCCAATTTGATGTTTCAGCCTTGGAATAAACAAAGATAATATCGGATCAAGTGCTTGTGAAAAATGCTATGAGCAACCATCAGATATACATTTGGTAGGCAAATACACTTGTGCGGCACGGGTAAACTGTTCAGGAAGCAATTTTTTCTCAGGAATTGGACCATCTCACTATACCTATAAACAACAATTTGCAAATGCTAGTGGTAAGACTTCTTTGAAGGTAGCTTCAAAGTTTAGTAGAGATCAGAATGCTTCGAAAGTTGAAAATGTCCACTTTGAGCAAGATGGGAAGTTAAATGGCCAAGACTCAGTCAAAATAGGCTCCCATACACCTCAATGGAGAGATGTGCCAAGTAAGGTCAGGAAAGCAGTTTCTGATGCAGCATCTTTGGATCAGACAGCTACTGTTTTGGATTGGGAAGGACAAGATGGTGTTCAAAATGGAACCATTTCTGCTAAGCGCTTCAGAAGAACTATCGATATGGAAGACTTGTTGAAAGAGCAAGAAAATTCTAATGTTTCTTCTGGATGTTCTGCTCCTGTGGTTACTCAGGCATCTGTGGAGGTCAACAAGGTTGATTCTTGTATTGTTGATGATGTAGACACTGGGTATGTCAACAACCTTGTTGTTGATGAGGGGTCAGGAATTGATAAAGGCTGGTCATCTGATATTGTTGAAAGTGAAAGAAGTGCTGAGTTTCTGGGTTCGACATGTGAGAGTTACTTGAAAAGAGGTAATCTGAGTGTCTTAAATGATCAGCCATGTTGTAATCTCCTTGATGACCTTAAATTGTTAGATTCTTTGACATGGAAGAAAGGCTGGGATCAAAATCGTACTATGCCTTCTGCTAATTTAGCCAATCAATCTCAAAAAGTCAAGAAGGGCTTTAAAGGAAAAAAGCGAAAGAGAAATGAGGTGAGGATTCTAGATGCTTCGTTGTCTTCTGGAATTCCTTCGTTATTGCATAACAAGAATGGTGAAAGTACTGAAGTTTTTAATTCCCCTTCCAATATGTCCAAAGAAATGCAACTTTGTTTTTCATCCAGCCAGCAAAGATCATCTATCAAGGCTTCTTTTGTTCAACCTAGTACCAAACAAAGACACTCAGCATTTTCATCCAAATTTCTCTCTGGTAAGAATCATCTGAGCAAGCATCGCAACGAGAAAGATAGCTATGAGTCTGAATCAAATTCTGATGCTGAGTTTCACACATTGCCTGAAATTTCTGGAATAAAGAAATTAAGAAAGGATTTCACTTCTGATTGTTCTGGGCATTTTCAAATGCAAGAAACAGACTATGAGGAACCTGAAAATGCTAAGCTGAGGCCATTCTCTAGCAGGATGGAAAATGCTCATAGAATCATAAGGCCAGTAGTATGCGGAAAATATGGTGAAATATCTAGTGGAAAATTGTCTATAGAAGTGCCAAAGCCTGCAAAAATTGTCTCTCTCTGCAAGGTTCTCAAAGCTGCCAAAAGATGTATGGTCCCTACTAATGGAAAACCTAGGGTGACTTCAAAAAAGAAATGGAAGAGATTGAACTTTGGAACAAGTAGTGGGCACTGCAGTGGCAAATCTGGTAAAACTATGGAAGACAATGAAACCGTAAATACAATAATTTGTAATGAAACAAATGTTGATATGTCTATGGAACATTTGGAGATGGGCAGCAAGCCACTTGTTATCTGCGAAGGGAAGAAAGATACTAAATCTAAGGTATGTGATAGTATTGTAAATCGAGCCAATGCTCCATTGAAGGTGAAGAGCAAGGAAATTCGGAAACAGCGTAGCATTTATGAACTCACTGTTAAAGGTAATTTGAGTGAAGTTACATAATTTTTTTCAAGACTTTTCTGTACTTAAGTCATGATTATAACAAAAGGCATCAGCGGAAATTTACAGGTTATTTCACTGATAATAATCTTGAAATTTAACAAAAGTAATACCAGTGATGGTTGATATTCCCTTTGTAGCAGCCAAATATAGGTTCATATCCTTTTTTTTTTTTTTTGGGGGGGGGGGATTCTTTTTGGTCATTTGAAGCCTAACATGCATTATAGGGTGAAGCATGCAGTTAGGATGATGTGGAACTGTAACAAAAGTATACCAGTGGCAGTTGATATTTCATTTTGGAGCCGTATTTAGGTTTTTATATATCCATTCAAGGGGGCAATAATAAGTTTTGATCATTTGAAGCCTAACTTCAATTGTGCGATAAAACATGCTATATTAGCATTCTCGTTTCTACTCACAATTTTGAGAAAGCCAGTATAAGACGGGGAACATCAATGAAAAATTGAAAATAATATATTTCTTGTTACAGATCAGGAGTATTTGGTTGGCTACAATTTCCTTCTTATTGGCAACTGATTTAGAACCTGTTCTTTTGAGCTTGTCTAGTTTTATGTAGCCCTCCAAACCTCCCCCACCTGTACCCACCCACAGAAAAGTCTTTTGTTTGAGTAAATTAATTAAAAAGGAGCTAAGAAAGAATGATGAGATACTGATTATTAAGATACACATATTTGGAGTAGTTTATTTTAATGTGCATTCCTGCCTAAAATGCTGGCTTACATGTTTGGAGTTCCAAATCCTATGAAGGTGTTCTACAAGGTTGGCTTACATGCTTCGGTTTAATTGTCTGTCAGTTGATTGTGTTGTGTGACTTCATCAAGAATATAATATTGATGACATATCTGCGATGCTTTATTATACCATCTATACTTATTTAGTTGCAAATTGGTATAGATTGTTATATATAAACCTGCATTTACTATTCATCGTTTGAAATATGGTTTAATGCTTCACTTTCCTTAGTCTCTTTTATGCACCCTTCTTATAATATTATAGCTATTTGTATATATGTTGAGAATTAATTTTCTGAGAAATGCCCCCTAACAAAGGTTTTTAAATGCACGCCAGAAACCAAAATGAAGGATATTTTGAAGTATGCTGAAGATAGGGAGCATGGTTTGTGCAACTCAAAAAGTAGAAAGTCAGCAAATCAAAAATTGTGTTATTTGCTTATTCTGTGTTAGCAGTATTCGTTTAAAATGCTTAGGATTTCTCTTGTGGGTGCATTTTGTTATTCTTACTGCTTGTATCACATTGCTCTTGCAGCTATGTTCAAGAACACATGAGCATCTCCATCATAAATTCAGATGCTTTCTGCTGTGTGTGTCGAAGCTCGAGCAATGATAAAATTAACTGTTTGTTGGAGTGTGGTCGATGTCTAATTAGAGTATGTAGAATTTCTAAAAATATTCAACTATTGAACTGCTCATATTTTTCTCTGGAATAAGAGTCTGATACGGTCTCTGTCATCTTGTTTATTAGGTGCATCAGGCTTGCTATGGTATTTCCACATTACCTAAAAAAGGCCATTGGTGTTGCAGACCATGCCGAACAAACTCAAAAGATATTGTATATTTATTGATATTTAATCCAATAAGCATTTTGATTTTTCCATTCAATTTGTCAGTCCTGATCTAGGATTGCTTTGTTTTTGTGCTTTGCTACATGAAGCCATTCAGTTCTCTTTCCAAATTTTTATATCCCTTATATTAATTTTTGTCTTGGCCTCTCTCTCATATGCCAAGATGAAGTCAATCAAGTATTAATCATTGATACCTGATTACTGTCTTTCATCTGCTACTGTGTATATAGCCATTATGAAATATGAATTACCAATATGCTCATGTTAAGTTCCTTTTTTAGAAACTAATTCAACTATTTTTTTCATGGTTTTTGTTTTGTGTGGGTTCAACATCAAGGCTTGTGTCCTATGTGGTTATGGAGGTGGAGCCATGACTCGAGCGATACTGAGTCGCACCATTGTAAAAAGCCTCCTAAAAGCTTGGAATATTGAAAAAGATGGCATGCCTGGGCATACAAATTCACATGAGGTTTATGAAAAGGAAGTAGATGCATTTCATTCCTCAAAATCTGGACTTGAAGCTGACCAAAGATGTGTTTTAAGGCTTGAAAATGTTGATAAATCAACAACAGATCTGTTGAAAGTTGAGATGCCTACAAATCACATACAACACACTCTGTACTCTGGTACTTATTTTAAGGTACATAACAGCGTTACAGCCGGAGTTTTTGATACAACTGTTAAGCAGTGGATTCATATGGTTTGTGGGCTTTGGACTCCTGGAACAAGATGCCCCAATGTTGACACCATGAATGCTTTTGATGTATCTGGTGTTTCATGTCCAAGAGCAGACGTGGTGAGCACCCAAAAGAAATACTTTAGTTGAAATCTTATATTGCTCAACTGTTTGTGTTAACCAATTTCCGAAGTAACGCAGCAAGCATTATTGTTCTCAGTGGGTTCTGATACTTTAGACGTTATTGGTAATTTTGTATGATTATTGTAGTCTGTTTACATGGTATTTTTCATGATTTCCGTTGTATTCATTTCTGGCTGTCCTATATCCACTGTATCTTAGTATTGCAGATGTCAGTGGCATACAGAGACTAATTCATAAAATGATAAATCGTACTTCTTGCCTTCTTTTATTAAATAGTTAATCACCTCGAACTTCTTTATTTCCTCCTTTGTCTCGTTATAGAGCAGGAAATGTTTAATAAAGTTAAGCATCACTCCTTCCAAAAAGTTCACAAATTAGTGCCTTTTTGTAGTACTCGGGTTCAATTTACTATGCTTATTTTCACAGTAAGGGGCATATGATGGTAAGCCTTGGATTAATTGTTGGGTCTTTCATATGGGCTTAGTATTTAGTAGCAAGTCTTAGTCCGTTAAGGATTAACACGGGACTTATAGAGTTGAAATAAAGGAAATGGTGTTATATTATTTATAAAATATGGGAATGAAGAATTTATTGTGTCTACAAGATCTGACTTAAGAAATACATGAAAGGTCAAACTTATTTTACGGTTGTTTAACATTTTTTTGTGGCATTTGATATTTGCCCAAGTTTTCAGCACATTACTTTTCCCAGGTTTGTTCCATTTGCAATCGATCAGGCGGTTCTTGTATAGAGTGCAGGATTGTTGATTGCTCTGTCAAGTTTCATCCTTGGTGTGCTCATCAGAAGGTATTTTTCTTTGATATTTGGAGGTTTACACCATACACCTTTCTGATTTTGATGTGTTAGTCTTTAATTAAACTATTTTAATAACTATAACTTTTATTTGTAAGACTAGTTCTCTAATGATGCCAGTTCTCTGGGAAAATGTAAACGTATCACTCTTGCCAAAATATACCACGGAGAAATTTTTTTGGGATCTATGATTCACTGGCACTAGAATTACCTGGTTCCGTATTAGCAGTCAATGCTTCTATATCTGATTATTTTGTGTGTACTTCCGGTGTAGTTATTTAACTTGTACACTATAATTTCATGACACGTTATATGTCATATTAACAACTTAAGCTGATAAAATTGACCAATGTAAACCAAGCTTTCCATGCTAGCTAGCAAACTTGAAAGTAGTGCACTTTTTGCTAGGAGGCTGATCAATTTTACTAAAATTGTTGTGTTGAATGCAAAGCAAGCTGTTAATTCATTGATTGAAACTGTTGTAAATAATTTTATTTGTTTATTTATTTATTTCTATTCTAGAATCTTCTTTGGGCTTAGCCCATTAGGTTATTTAGTCTCTTTAAAAAGAGAACAATTGTACAGATGTAATATACAATTTTATCAATAAGATTATCTCTTTTTTCAACTTGGTATTAGAGCTCTCGATTCTGAGGGCTCTGCTTCCGCGACTGACGCCTTCAAAGCAGAACCCTATTTGTTTGCCTCTCACCGCCAAGGTTGTCAAACTCGAGAGTCTATGCAAACTCGGAAGGGTGAACCAAAATCGCAGAATCGTAACATGGATCGTAGAATCGTAACACAAGATACAAATTATATTTATATATATTTATATGCATATAAAGTAATATAATAAGCAAATTTAATTCAACCAACCAGCAAAATAATGTCATACAATAGTCATAATCACATAATGTCTCAAACACATAAAGTCATAGCACAAAAGATCAAAATCCAAAACAAAATATCAAATATGTTTTACTTAAAATCCATATTCAGAGTTATGTTAGTTATATTTAATTTTTTTTACTTAAAATTTAATATCAAATATGTTTTCTTTTAAGGGTTTTATGTTTGTTTTGTTACATAACATAACTTTATTTTCCTACACACACAACAAAAGGGAGAGAGAAAGTGAAATGATGAAAGAGAGAAAAAAATATGTGGACCCCACTTCTTTGTTGTGTGTGTAGGAAAGTAGAGTTATGTTATGTAACATAACAAACATAAAACCCTTCTTTTAATATCACTATTGATTTTTAAATAAAAAATGAGTTATTAATATACATACATAATGTTAAATTTAACTTTCATGTATTATAAGTGTAAAATATTTTACATTCACATTTCAAATTTCATATAATTATCAATACAATTAAATAAAGTAATAAAACATGATTCCTTACTAACAATATACTGTGCATATTTTAGAGAGAAAAAAAATTATAAACGAAACGACAAACAGAGGCACAAAAAAAAACGAAACAGAGGCAAAAAAATAAAAAGAAACGAAACAAAGCAGAGAAGAGATTGAGGTGGTGGTGGAGCATCATCTGCATGCTTGCGATGCTGAGAATCTTTGTTGGAGGAGACCATCAGGTTCTAGTGCTTCATGGACTCTTCCAAATCGGCCACCTCCCATGACTTTGGGGCTCCCAAATCCTCCACAGAGCCCTCCATGGAGAAATTGGAAGAGAAGAAAGCGGAGAAGCAGAAGGACGACAACGAAGCACGTCGGAGAAGACGGTGGAGCAGGAGTCGTGCGGCGGAGCAAGGAGGTGGCGGCTGAAACAAGGTATTAGGGTATTTTGTTTTAAAAAGCCCATTTATACGATGGGTTTCGGGTCCATGGGTTTTTCTCCATTTCTTTGAAATCGTTAAACTCGTAAGAGTTTAAGAGTTTGCCAAAAAACACGGCGCTTCTACCATTTGAGTGCCAAAAGCGATTTTGCAGTTAAACGGGAACGGTGAGGGTGACCAGAAGTGTAAACTCGCGAGTTTGACAACCATGCTCACCGCCACTGGAAAAAAAAATTTCGGGGACCTTTTGGACAGAGAAGATCTTTGTTTGACCTTTTTTCTTCCGTGGTACTGTTCATGGAGTGCACTGTTCATGCCAGAAAAAAAAATTGTTCTAGGACAGAACTGCTCGGTTTTGTCTCCTCTTTCCAGATCTGTGTTTTCTCTTCAGTTAGACATCATTTGGATTTGCGTTTGTGTAATTTTCACCTCAACATTATGGGGGGTTCAAATGGTGCAACGTCGGAATTTATTTCTATTCGCCGAGATGAGTTCAAGCGAATTCGGATTATGCTTGATTCTTTGAGTAAGCCATGTAGTACTAGTGCTTTGGCTATGACTGATATGAGCTCTACTAATTCTTTTCTTACTTCTTGTACTGATCTTAAACATTCTTGGATTATCGATTCTGGTTCTACTGATCATATGACTTGTTGTGCTGATTCCTTTCTTTCTTATAACCCTAATATTGGCTATGTTGTACCGACACCGATACGGGACACGGGGTACAACACGACACGACACTTCGACACGTTAATTCTAAAAAATATTAAATTTCGGCACATTAGGACACGTTTTGATATTATATAATATTTTTAATTTATGTAGTGTATATTATATTTTATATTCAATATTTTAATAAAAAAATAAAGCTAAACTTATAATACCCATCAATTTTACAAAGAAACATAATATATCCCGAATGTTTATATTAAATTCAACAAAATCGTAATCGTAATCTAACGAATCTAATAGTTGGAACTCAAAATACAACGCAACATAATCTTTGAACCTTTTTTGAGTCTTTGCAACAAGTATTTAAATGTCGGGAAGTGTCGGAGTGTCGGTGAGTGTTGTGAAGTGTCGGACACGATACATCAAGATTTTTGAAGTTCGGTGCTTCATAGACTATTGGCACCCATACAATAGCCGTAGCTGATGGCTCACACACATCAGTTGCGGGTTCCGGTAACATATATTTACTGCCTTCCTTACATCTCCAAAATGTTCTTTATGTTCCCAAACTCTCCACTAATCTTCTTTCTATCCATAAAATTACCAGAGATTTTAATTGCACTGCAACTTTCTTCCCCACTCACTGTCTTTTTCAGGATCTTGCCACGGAGAAGACGATTGGGGTTGCTAAGGAGCAAAGTGGGCTGTACTATCTGGTGCCAGAATCTTCTGCAAAGTATGCTAAGGATCACACCTTATTGACTCAGTCTCAGTCTACTGCCGACTCTTTGATTTGACTCCATCATAAACGCTTGGAGCATCCTCCATTTCGTTTGCTTAAGTCTTTATTTGCCTCATTATTTTTGTCTAAGTCTGTTGAGTGTTTTCATTGTGATGTTTGTGAGTTTGCTAAAGACCATCGTCTCTCTTTTTCTTCTAGTACCATTAAAAGTGTTGAGCCTTTTGATCTTGTTCGTTATGATGTTTGGGGTCCTTCTAAAGTTCCTCATGCTTCTAGTAATAAATGGTTTGTTTCTTTCATTGATATTTGCACTCGTGTAACCTGGGTTTATTTAATGCATGAAAAATCTGAGGTACCACAGATATTCTTTCGATTTTATAAAATAATTGAGACCCAATTTGGTAAAAGAATTAAAAGACTAAGGTCCGACAATGGTATCGAATATGTCAATTAGCGTATTTCCAAATTCATCCAAGATCAGGGCATGATTCATGAACTTACTTGTGTGGACATCCCTCAACAAAATGGAGTTGTTAAGAGGAAGAATCGTCATCTTCTTGAAGTTGCTTGTGCCTTACTTTTTTTAGAATCATGTACCCAAGTGCTACTGGGGAGATGCCATTCTTACTGCAGCTTTCTTAATCAACCGCTTGCCCTCTCGGGTCATTGACAATGTAAGTCCTATTCACTCAATAACTTCATTCTTTCCCTCTGTTCCCTCTATGCATAGTCTTCAGCCACAAGTGTTTGGGTGTGTTGTCTTTGTCCACGTTCATAAACATCTTCGCAGTAAGTTGGATCCTAGGGTTCTCAAATGTATATTCCTTGGTTATGCCCCTGATAAGAAAGGCTACAAATGTTATCATCCTGCTAGTCGGAAATTCTCTGTCTCAGTGGATGTCACATTTCATGAATCTGAGTCTTTTTTCCCAAGTCCTCATCTTCAGGGGAAAAGCAGTTCTTCAGTAGATTCATCATATTCTATCTTTGAGTCTGGGCCTTTCATGTCTTCTCCTACACCTCTTCCTCCTGTTTCTGATTCTTCTGTGTCTGACCCATCTGATACACTGGAAATACGGAGGATTGTGACACCTGAGTTGGTATATCATAGGAGAAAGCAACTAACACTCCTTCACCAGCAGCCTCAATCGTCTGAACCACTTGTTAGTCATGAATCTTTTGTTTCTGATCCTAATATTATTACTTCTTTTGTTTTTGAACTTAATATTGTTGCCTCTAATGATTTGTTTGTTGCTTCTGATAGCTTACTCAGTACCTCTGATGACTTACCTATTACTCTAAGAAAAGGGAAAAGATTTTGTACCAAACACCCTATCTCTCATTTTGTCTCTTCTACTAACCTTTTTGTTCAGCACAAAAACTTTATTTTAGCATTAGATTCTATCTCAATCCCATAATCAGTACATGAAGTATTAAAAGATGAGAATTGGGCTTAAGTCATGCAAGATGAGATGAATACCTTGGAGAAAAATAAAACATGGGAGGTTGTTGATAAGACCTGATGGAAAGAAAGCAGTAGGGTGCAGATGAGTTTATGCCTTGAAATATAATTCTAATGGTACTCTTGAGAGATATAAGGCTCGGTTAGTTGCCAAGGGTTACACTCAGACCTATGTCATTGATTATGAAGAAACTTTTGCCCCAATTACAAAGATGAATACTGTGAGAGCTTTGTTGTCCTTTGCTGCCTATTACAATTGGGATATGAATCAATTTAATGTGAAGAATATTTTCCTTAATGGTGAGTTAGAAGAAGTCTACATGGAAATCCCACCTGGCTTTGGCTCTATGGATGGAGGAAATAAAGTTTGCAGGTTAAAAAAGGCCTTGTATGGATTGAAACAGTCTCCTCATGCCTGGTTTGAGAGATTTACTAAGGTTATGCTGGCCTTAGGATATAAACAGAGTCAAGGAGATCACACACTATTCTTCAAGCACTCCCAAGATGAGAAACTAACTGTGCTCCTTGTATATGTTGATGATATTATTATAACAGGTGATGATATTGCAGAAAAACATTTTCTACAAGCACGACTAGCCTCTAAGTTTGAAATTAAAGATCTTGGGAGAGTGAAATATTTCCTAGGGATAGAGGTAGCTCATTCAAAGGAAGGAATTTTTATCAGCTAGAGGAAATATGTCCTTGATCTTCTTAAAGAAGCGGGAAAACTTGGGTGTAAACCCTCTAATGCTCCTATTGAGCAGAATCACAAGATGAGTTATGAAGAGAAGAGTCCTCCAGTTGATAGAAGACAATATCAGCGGTTAGTTGGGAGACTGATATATTTGGCTCATACTAGACCAGATTTTGCTTATGTTGTCAGTATTGTAAGTCAGTTCATGCATAATCCAAAAGAAAAACACATGCAGGCAGTGGAGAGAATTCTTTAGTATCTTAAAGCCACTCCTGGTAAAGGACTGTTGTTCCGGCGTAATGGCAATATCTCTTTAGAAGTTTATACCGATGCTGATTATGCTGAATCTGTAACTGATCGTCGATCTACCACTGGTTATTGTATGTTTTTTTGTGGTAACCTAGTGACATAGAGGAGTAAGAAACAAGACGTGGTTGCCAGATCGAGTACTAAGGATGAATTTCAAGCTATGGCTCAAGGCATTTGTGAATTATTGTGGTTGAGAAATATACTTGGTGATCTTAAAATAAGATGTGAATGACCTATGAAGCTGTTTTGTGATAATGAGTCCGCCATTTGTATAGCTCATAATCCAGTTCAATATGATCGGACTAAGCACATTGAGGTCGATTGCCATTTTATCAAAGAGAAGCTTGATAGCGGGTTGATCACCACTCCATACATCCTTTCTGGACGTCAATTAGCTGATATTCTGACAAAGGGACTTCCCTTAGAAAGGTTTCAAGAGCTTACTAGCAGGCTGAGAATGATAAATATTTATTCCTCAGTTTGAGGGGGAGTATTATAAATAATTATATTTGTTTATTTATTTATTTATTTTTCCATTCTAGAATCTTCTTTGTGCTTAGCTCATTAGGTTATTTAGTCTCTTTAAATTGAGAGCAATTGTACAGATGTAATATACAATTTTTTATCAATAAGATTATCTCTTTTTGAACTAATATTATGTGGAGCTGAATGTTGGCTAGCATATAAATAACATGAGCATAAAATGGGAGTAGCGGGAATGAGGATGTTAAGATGGATGTGTGGTCATATAAAAAGATGGATAAGATAAGAAATGAAGATATTTGAAAAAAGGTAGGAGTAGTACTAGTGGTTGCAAAGATGAGAGAACATAAATTGAGGTGGTGTAGGCACATAATGCGAAGACCCCTTAATGCTCCCGTAAGAACAAAATTTTGTTACCAAGAGCTTGATACAAAGAGAGGAAGAGGTTGATCAAAATTTACATGCGGGAAGGTAGTAAAACAAGACTTAATGAAGTGAGATATAGATTGACGGATGGTGTATCATAGGACGGATTGGAGGAAAACTATTACCATTGTGGAGGGTTAGACCCAATTTTTCTTCCGATGTGGGACTCCAACTCCCGTACCTTGCAATTGGATCGTTATATCTCACCACACTTGGTAGCCTCGGTGCTCACGCAGCTTGGCTTGGCGCTAGTTTTTTATTAGTCTTGGACGAATACTGCAATGTCAACATTGTTAGCGTCACCAGTCGCGCTACTCGATTGCAACTGGGAGACATAGTGGAAGATCTGATTCCAATTGATATGATCCTTGGAGAGCCTCACCCGTAAAGCTAGCTTGTAAGGTAGGAGAGCCTAAAGTCCATATAAACACTACACCAAAACCTTATGTTTCTGATGTTGGATTGTAAGTCTCATCCTTACAATTGGATCATTACAAATTGCAATTCCATGAGTCCATGATAAATAACTCTGCCCCATGTCCATCATCTATACTCTTTTCTTGGTTTGACAAGTTATTTGCAAAAGCTTTGCAGAATTGCAGGTTATTTTGATAAGATTTCATTATGTTAACAGTGCAAATAGTTTTGTGGGATGACAATTGGGCATTACTGTGGTAGCCATATTTTTTCCCTTGGTTTGATACCCAGGATTAGTTGAGCATTTTATTGGCTGGTAGTTATGTTTAATCTGAGTTCTAAGCATTTATTATGAAATATGCAGTAAATGAATACATGAAAACTCACTTTGGGTACTAGGGTACCATAACAACTCCAATGACAGTTGCTTTTCAACTTCTTTTGCAGAACCTGTTGCAAAGTGAGACTGAGGGTGTTGATGATGAGAAGGTTGGATTTTATGGAAGATGTGTGCTTCATGCTATTGACCCTCAATGTCAGTCCACATGTGATCCTAATGACGAGAAGGGCAACAGTCCAGAAGAAAAGGAATTCACCTGTGCCAGGACACAGGTATTTTGTGACATTTCTGGGATTTATCTAGAGTGAAGTGGAGGGTCGTGTGAGTGTTCTTTTAATATTTCCAATGATTGACTTGTTAAGATATTAACGTCTTCTGGATTATCTAGGGTTACAAGGGTCGGAGATGGGATGGTTTTCAGAATAATCGTTACAGTGCCTTGAAAGACAAGGGTGGATGCCTTGTTCCTGAGGAGCAGTTAAATGCTTGGATTCACATTAATGGGCAGAAAATGTGTTCGCAGGGACTCCCAAAATTTCCTGATTTAGAGATTGAGCATGATTGTCGGGTATGCTCATGTTGTATATATAGCCCCCAATTTTTTTTGGTTAAGATTTGTTTTGTTGATATAGCTGCTTCAAAATTTTATTTGCTGGTCAGTAGCTGATTGATATTTTAGTTTGTCTTTTCTGTTATATGCGAGGGTAATATAAAACCTTGTGTTCAAGTCATGAAGATCAAATTTTTAGTTTTCTCAAGCAAAATTTGCATATCCATATTGTGGATTTTTTACTTTAACTGAACTGAGAGTTTAGGCCTTTGAAAACAAGTAATATTAAGTTGAAGGTTATTTTTGTATACCTAGGTGGTAGCCTAATTTTGTGGGTAAGCTTCAGCCTGTTGTCCTGAGTATCTAATGCCCTACTATCTGCAGAAGGAATATACTCGGTACAAACAAGCAAAGGGTTGGAGACACCTTGTTGTATACAAATCCGGGATACATGCCCTTGGTCTTTACACTTCTCGGTTCATTTCCCAGGGTGAAATGGTATGATGCTGGCCTTTAAGATGTTTATATGTCCCTTCCACTATGATTATAAATATGACGTGTTTCTCATGCTTCCATAGGTTGTTGAGTATGTTGGAGAAATTGTAGGGCTACGTGTGGCTGATAAAAGAGAAAACGAATATCAATCTGGAAGGAAACTTCAATACAAGAGTGCCTGCTACTTCTTCAGGATAGACAAAGAACATATTATTGACGCCACAAGGAAAGGGGGGATTGCTCGTTTTGTTAATCACTCATGCCTGGTATATATTACTCCAAAATTTGACTTTGCCTTTGTTTATTGTTCATTTCATTTTTACTTTTTTGTCAACTTTAATGTACACTCATTAATGCCTTTCTCTATGCATATGGTTGTTGGTTCCTAAGATTTATGGCTTGTTATGAAGTAGTTTGGGGTAGTGTTCTCAAATTATGTTATAAGTTTTGGAGATTTTGTTCAAAAAAATTCATGGGCATGAACAAGCAGAAACCTAACTCCAATCGATCTTTTTGCTAATTGCATTCTGCATAATATTTGGGCTCTCCGAACTCTTCCTTATAAGCAATTATTTCATCTATCCTTGATATAACTAATAGTAATACCTATGACCATTATAAGTTTCAGTCAATGTAATATGTTTTTAACAATAGCTGCTGTTTCTATTTGTACTCCAATTCGGCCTTCTAACTAATGTTTATTTTCATGGCCAGCCAAATTGCGTGGCAAAAGTGATTACTGTAAGGCATGAGAAGAAGGTAATCTGCTGTTTGCTTATGAATCAATTTACTGAATTCGTTGAACTATTCCTGCATATAAGTTTTGATTATTAAGAAAAGTGGCACCAATTGATTGCCATGATAAATGTAGAGCTGTTACATTCATGATCATAACAAGGATACGTACGTGGGATTTGTTGGCAAATGTTTTCTTAAAGTAGAATATATAGAAACCTTGAGGATTGAATGTTTTTCAGATGTATTTTTTGCTGCACGTCCTCCCTCTCAACTTTTGACCATTTGCATGTAAATCCAAGGCATAATGAACAATTATAGCCATGCGACGATATGGCTTCAGCTTTCATCTTCTATTATGAATGTACACTGATGAGAAAACTAAGTGACTTTTGGTTTTGAAGGTTGTCTTCTTCGCAGAGAGGGACATATTTCCTGGTGAAGAGATAACATATGATTACCACTTTAACCACGAAGATGAAGGAAAGAAGATTCCATGTTATTGTAATTCAAAAAATTGCAGGCGCTATTTGAACTGACTAGTAATTGTAAATAATATGTATGATTTGTTAACGTGCACATTCCCATGGGTATTAAATTGTGACCAATGTTGTAGTGTTCATGGCGCTTAAACATATTGCCTCTCTTTACACAGAAAATTGCAATGTGTACAAGTCCCCATTTGGAGTTTTAGAAGGATAAACTTTGTATATAACTAGCATGCATTTGCAACATGATCTACTCTGACAAGCTAAAATTTTGAGCGCATGCTTTTGTAATTGAGCTACCACGGGGGCCACTGAAATTCAAGGTTCCCATTGTATTGGTTTTAACTAGCCACAATTTACAGACGCCTTGAAAACTTCATGAATTAATGAAATTATGAAGCAAATTTCAATTAAAAACCCAAATTACACAACAGCGAGCGAACGAACGAAACGTATTCTATTAAGCACCAGTGACACATCCTCAGGTTTATCATACAATCTATATAGGAAGAATTACACAAGTACATAAACAGTGATTTGTACGTTGCACAACCATGTCAATGAGCATAGGTCCAAGGTATTCTCCGACGACTGTAACAACCTTTAGAGCTACTATGACCACCAATTTGGAATATTTGCTGTAGCTTCATTCACCATTTTTACAAGAGTCACCTGTAAAAAGTAACAACTCAATTGTAAAAGTCCTCCAAATGCTCTCAATTCTCAAACATCACACAATCATTCGTAAAAAAGAATCTCGGAGGAAATGTATTCAAGGTGTGCATCTACATAATTTGAAAGACAACTGCAAAGTATAATCCACCCATGTACTATCACATGGAACCCTAAAGTAGAAGGCCACGCCCTTGTGCTCTTAAAATCATAAAACCTCACCTTACGAATTGAAAAAAATTAGAAAAGTTTAATTGACAAGCCAACCTAAGCCAAAATGTTTGCTTGAAGAGAATTGTTAGATAACCACATCAATTGGCCACGCAATGTAAATCTAGTGAGTCTTTTTTTTTTTTTTTTTGTTGTTGTATAAAAGTGAGAGTCTTTTCATACTACATAATGGTGACTAATTAATTAAAGGTAATTAACTTGTCATGTTACTGGACAAGAATCAAATTTCCTGTAGATAGAAGATTATGATGGGACCCACTGAAAAATGAAATAAAAATAAAACAAAATTGTGATTTCGGTTTCCAACGTCTCTGCAGGAAAGAACAGTAACTTTTCGGTAACAGGACAAGTTGATTTCCCATTAATTAATCACTGAATTTAAGGCTATGCCTTTTATCACTTTTCTTGACATCAACAGTGTAATTAATTTTAATTTTATCTTAATTTCACTGGTCAAAATATCAACAAATATGTCAATTGAAGTGACACAATATTTACGTGAAAAACCCAATTCGGAAAAACTACGGGCAAAATACAAAAATAAAAAATCATTAAGTGAAAAAAAATACAACATTTCTCTAAAATACAAGGAAAGAATAATATCACTCTCTTTTATATTAGAAAAATACAACTCACTCAAAATAATACTTAAAGAAACACTTTTTATATTTCCTCTGATTTTTGTGGAATGATGAAACCATTTTGCAAGCCCCCTATTTATAGGCATAGGGTACTGCAAATTTTTCAGCTCACTCATTGAAACTTTTTCCAAAATTTGAAGAGTGCATTACGTGTGCAAATTGAAAACAAAACGTACCCACTAAATCAACAGTATACGAGATTTGGTTCTCAGCCACTAAAAGTGGCCTTTAGATCATTGCTTACATCAAGAAGAACTAGCTAGCTAATCAGTGGTTAATCATTCACCCATAACGTGATTTGATTCATCAGTCATTCGTCAGTTTCTTCTAATGACAACATTTTGGCACGATTAGTGTGCAAGAATTCACCCAAATGACCGAGGGGATTAGTCCGATACCAGTATTTTCATTAGTTCTCAAATATTTATTATTTTGATTATATTTAATGGAATCCAAATATTTGCTTTCAAACCAACAAAAAATAGATGTTTAACAACTTATACTGGGCACCGATAGCTAAAAAACCAGGGTCCCATAGCAACACCCTAATAGAATAATGGAAATGAATGCTCATTATAGCTTTAGAACCATACATGGGATTAAAGAATTAACCAGAACAGCTCTTCTTTAAGTGAAGGTTTCTTTAACCTGAACCAACCCAAATCAAACCTTATACTTGCTACGTTGGGTTAACTCGGTTGGTACTTATTATTTTTTTAACAAAGCAGCAAATTAAAAAAAAAAAATAACACAAAAAAATGAAGGAAACTCAACAAAATAACCACACTATTAAATAGTATACAAAGGGAGATGAAACATACCACACTTTCTGGAACACCAGGTGGTGGCATTGTCAGATTTTTGGGGGGAGCAACATGATCATAAGATCTTTTATCAAACCTCCATTCTCCAATCTTTCCATAGGTTAGCTCACCCTGAATATTCAACATCATACATTGAGTAACAAGTTAAGCAATAAAATAAAAAACTAACAACCATTGGTTTAAATGGCAATGAGTTTGTTCCCCTCAACCATCTTGAGTTTGAGTTTTAAGAATGAAGAAAATGGTGTTGGGAGAGCTGTTCCAAAAATGGGTTCGATTGTGCTCGAACAGGATTAAACCGGTTTGTTCTTTGAGCGATAGTTGAATTATAAATCAGTTTTCCTTCTTTACATCCTTTCCTTTCTTCAAAGAACATCAGAATAAAAAATTCGTAGGAGCTCAATCCCAGCAAAGTACCTTCATTGTATAGTCACACCCGTAAGTGTAGTGAATTATGTATGCCTTGCCAATTTCTTTGTCCCATGGAGGCTGTCACGCATAATAAAAAAAACAAATGCTAGTAAATTTGAAGGAAGGGAATGCTTGTTATGAATTCAGTATATACAGACTGTAAGACAGTGAAAAGCAAAGAAGAATGAAGTTTTGACCAAAAGCCTTGAAATTGTAATAATAAGAAAAAAGTCCAGGCTGAAAAGGGAAAATTAATACAGCATTGATCTCGCACTATTCTATGTGATTTCTGTATTATGATGAAGACATTAACAAAAACAAAGTATGCAAAACTATTTTATATAGGACACGGACTGGATAAAATAGGCATTTTAGAATGTTAAAATCTTTTTCTTTTACTTAAGTGTATGATTTAGGTCCTGTTTGGATAAACAATTTCATTAAGTATTTAAGTAAAGCTTGCTAAATATGCTCTATACTCATGAGTGCAGTCTAAAATAAGTCGAATGGTGTTTGAATAGATATTACGAAAAATGCTTACGTGGAGATGGAATTTTGACAATTCATTAAGCTCAATTTAGTCAGAAATTATTATAAAAATAGCTAATGCCTAAGCCAATTTAAACTTCTGTAGCAGATTATTTTCATAAGCTTCAATTTCTAGCTTATGAAAACAAAGCACAAAACAGCTTATGTTGGTTTCAAAAGCTATTTTGATAAGCTCATCCACTTTATAAGCACTTATTGCAGTATATAAGCTGAAAATAAGTTCTTCCAAACAAGGCCTTAGCATTATAAAAGATAGTAAGTCTAGACTCACAACACATGACTTGCTAAAATAATACCACAGGCCAATGCAGGACATAGAAAACCCTTCATTTAAATGGCAGAACAAGACTACTTGAAGGTTTTACTTGAAGTCTAGTGTTATGATACTAGACTTTCTCAAATATGTTCTTGTTGGAGAGGTCAACATCCCGCCTTGGAAGGGCCAATGTGGGGTCAGAGTCAGATCAAACCATGACGCCTAGGTTGGTAGGGAGAAGTAGAAAGAGTTGCGCCCCAATTAATAGCTATAGCTTTTGGCTTAGTGATAAGCACTCGATCCAACAGTTCTAAGCTTAAAAAGTAATGGATAGAAAGTAAAGGTCCTCATTACACTATCACATATTACCATATGAGAACCTTCTTAATACAGGACAGTGGAAAAAACAAAAATAAAAAAGAGAACCTTATTAAACCTGAATCATGAAGTTCTTGTATAATATGTTACGAACACCATGAACAGCAGATGCAACAGCATAAGCATACCTATATCAGTGACACAAAATAACATAAAAATCCAAGTTGTTGTGAGGTTAAGAAAGGATAATATGGATTAGAGAAGGAAAAAAAAATTACATTTCAAGCACCCATCCAAAAGCTTTATCAGTTTCAGGATCCTTCTTCATCGCCAGGGAAACATTCATCCAAGTGGGAGCAATCTTCTTAAGGGATTCCTAACATTATTCCATATAAAATTAAAAAGTGGCCCAAAATCAAGAGTATCCATAACATAACTACCACTGAAAACTAATTGATAAGTACCTTGCCGACAATAACAGGTGAATTTCCAATTGGATCTATATTGGTTATTGGTCCATTCTCCTCAGGGAAGTACTTCCGTAGCACTGTCTCATACTTCTTAGGTTCAATGTAAAAGAAAGGGAACGCAGCTCCTAGCCCATCTCTGGCTAAGTTGGGTATAGGTTTGACAATTACATGATCTGGCTCTGACATCAATATGTAACTGATATGCAATACAAATGGCACTAAAAAAAGTCAAAACCAATATCCAGAAGATAAAAAATGATTCCCAAGTTTTGAATATAGAAATTTAAAGTTAATCATCTCATACTCTTCTTTGATATCTGCTTGTTGAAGCCACTGTACAAATGCCCATGGTCTATTAAGGACTATGTAACCCTGCCACAGAGCAGAGATGAGCAAGACTACACAAGAAGAATAAGTAGTAAACTAGTGATTTGGTTTTGATACCTGACTGAAAATGTATCCTACTTACAATTCGGTCATTAATTTACATTATTATCATTTAATCCTTAAAATTTTCAAACTCGTTTATGGTAGGAACTAGCATTACATAATTTATATCAGAAGCTAAAATGCTTACATTTCAAATGACCAAGATACCATTTTTCTCCTAGAATAAGTACAAATTATTCGAAAATCAAAGCACCCATATGAAATTTTCTTCTTCTTCTTTTTCTTTTAATAATCAGAGTCACATCACAGAACCCAACCCATGTAACAAAACACAATTGTGACAGGAAGAATGTGTAAGTGAGAAGCAAAACCTGATCCATTCCAGCAGGTAAAGGCTGTGCAACAAAGGTGGGGATCTCATCCATGAACTGATCAGGTTTCCCAGAATGGAGGATCCGTGTGAATCCACCCATTCCAGATTCAGGTTCATCCTTGAACTTTTTGAACCAGTAGTACATGATCCTACACTGCCAAGTGTTGTAAACGGAGTCAGAGGCCGTGACAGCAGTGTGGAACAGCCTCTTGGAAGAAGAAGAAGATCTATGAAGTGGCATCTTAATCACAGGATCCACAGAAATTGAAGGACGAGAAGGACCTGGGAACTCTTGCTTCAAAGGGGCATTGGCTGAAATTATGATGTTGTAAGTTATCAGAGCCACTGAGAAACTTATCAGAATTGTGAAGAACAAATTTCCACATCCCATTTTCTTCCTCCTTCTAATTTTCTCTCCCCTTTTTCTATCTTCTTCTTATGTTGAGAAAGAAAGAAAGAATCAGAATAATAAATAGAAAACAATAATAACGGAGTTGTTGGACGATGTGGCGGCTCAGTTCAGTGCTTCTTCTGTGTCCAGTTGTTGAAAGCAACTCCAAAAAGTCGTCTCCCATTTTTTTTTTTTTTTTTTAAATCCTATAATAGATAATCCATCATTTTCTCTCTCTCTCTCTCTCTATACATTTTTTTTATATATCTCTCTACATTTTTTTTTCTAATTTAAACCAAAAAATATTTCACAACTTATACGAGATAATTTTGTTTGATGCATAGTAGATAAATTTCTTTCTCTTTTCTTTAGTGCATTATATCCATTTTTTTAGGCTTTTTAACCCTTTTGCCTTTTGTTAATTAAAAAATAATCATTTTGTCCCTCACCCAAAACATTCCATCTATCTGCCCTGTTTAATCGATCACAACACAGGGTATAATCGATTAAATAGTCAAAAAATATTTTGACCGTTGACCCTATTATTTAATCGATTAAACCATAACTGTTTAATCGATTAAATAACCCCAGATCTCCTATATCTATATATCTCGGTCCCACTTCACTTATACTCGTTTTTTACACCAAAATCTCTCTCGTTTCCTATTTGTAATCAAACCCATCAAGAGGCTATTTCATCTCACCAACTCTAAAGTCTTAATCTTGTGAAATCATTGTCATTACACTTACATATTCCTTTTTTTGTTGTTGGTAAAATCCGAACCCTAGTCTCAATTTCGTGTGAAAGATGAGTTCAAGTTCAAACATGTATGTTACAATTACCTACCACGATGGGAGACATTTTGAAGGTCCCAATGGTGTTCAATTTGAAGGAAAAACGAATATTTTGGAAGCAACTAGTGACTTGGAAAGAAAAATGGTACATTCATTTGTGTTCAAATACATTCGTGTCTTTATTGTGTTGATGTATGCAACATTTGACCTAAAAGTTCAAGAAGACCCACAAATGCATACAACTAGTCCTAATATATCAGTACATGTAAAATGAATCAAGTGTAGGTACTTAAAGAAGTTAAATAACATTTTGGATAGTCAAAACCAACTTTAAATTCATTTTTGTTACATTTAGGGAATCAGAAATGCACGTCGGTCTTATGAGACCGCAAAGCCCTTCCCTAAATCACAAACCCTAAGATCATGAGTGTAGAAACTCATTAGACCAAAAAAAATTTGTGAAAACGGAACCATATGGCTAATAACATTGGTTTAATCGATTAACCCATAGTGGTGTAATCGATTACACCAGTATGGGTTAATTGATTAAATCAGTGTTGTTAGCCATATGGTTCTACTTCCACGAGTTTCTTTTGGTCCAATGAGTTTCTACACTCATGATATTAGGAAATGTGACTTGGGGAAGGGTTTTGTGGTCTCACAAGACCCACAAATATTTCTGATTCCCTAAATGTAACAAAAGTGAGTTTAATGTTGATTTTGACGTACCAAAATGTTATTTAGCTTCTTTAAATACCAAAACTTGATTCATTTCATATGTACTGCTATATTAGGACTACTTGCACTCATTTATGGGTCTTCTTGATATATTAGGATAAAAGTTGGTCTTTTAGGACTAAAGCCCCATTTGTGGGTCTTCTTTAAGTACCTAAACTAATATGTCAAAACTTCAACATAAAGAAAAATAGACATCCATTTCATTAAATCAAAAGTTGTATATATAATGAAAATCTACAAAATAAATGAAAAATACATGAACATCTTAGAACAACACTACAAACATAAAAAAAACCCTAAATCTACTTCCTCCCTCATCTGACTCGGTCTCCTTTTCCTCCTCATCTGACACATTAGCCCCCTCTCCATGATCACCTGCTGCCTCCTCGGCCTCTCGTCCTCGTGCAAGCTCCAGATGACCAAGACTATACTCTAAGCCCTTGAATTGCCCTTAAATGTGCTTAAAATTTTCATTCCCCTTTTCTTTATGGCTCTTTCACCTTTTTTTAATTTTAAGCTCCATCTTTACTATTCTCCCGAGTGTGACATTGTTGCCTTTCATGACATCACAGGAGGTGAATCCACCCTCAAGCTCAACTATCTCCTCCCGGTCAGCATGATCATCATCATCCGCTTCAACCTTAACCATGTGTGCATCTGGGTTAACCTCAGGGACCTCAACCTGTCTTGAGAACTGCCACACACCAGCCCTAGTCTTGGAGATCTTGCACTGCTCTAATAGATGTTGTCTAAACTTGGAATTATAGCCTGTGAGCCTCTTCAGCCTCTCAGTCTCCATGGGAACACCAAAATGCTCCAATATCCTCTAAACCAGAAAGACAAATGGAAGTGCACCCTTATGCTTGGCCTTAAACATCATCCAACAAATATAGTGCCTCCAATTCACCTGTATGTCATGACGGATAGCCCACATGATAGGAAAGTCACACTCCAGCAGCCTCGAATGATTGAAAGCTTGCGAGAATAATGTGGGTGATGACGTAGTGCACGATACGAGCATCAACACTAAGAAACCCCACAGTATAATGAGCATTCTGCCCACGCCTTTTGGCCTCCTCCACAGCATCACCTCGCACAAATCCAGGAATGGGGACATTGTTATCCGCATTATACTCCACTGTAGGATGAGCAAAGTCGTACCCTAATAACTTCATCCATATCAGAGAGGTTATCAGTATATCCTTTTCACAAACGTGGGACCTCAGCTCACCTTGTATATAGCTGGGGTTATGGTAGAAGTCCTTCACCATAACCTCTGAATAGGGACACAACATCTCAACCAACACTCTTAAATGTGACACATCCAACAATGCCACTATGTCAAGTCCATCCCTCACAAAGAATGTCGTATCCAATAACTTCGACTGACAAATGGTTCTGCTAGCAAAATCAATCATAAATCTTGCGTGCTCCAAGGGATCATTATCGAGCAAATACCCAAATAGGAGGTCCACAACCTCAATAGGCTCCTGTGGCCCTGAAGAAGAAGGAAGGTCTTCGCGTTGCTTGGTCCGTCTTTCACAATCGATGTTCTTTGAATTTCGTATACAGGCAACCATGATGACAAAGGAAACCTACAATAACACATGATAATTTATCAACATCACAAAAAACAGACATAACAACAACAACAATAATAATAATAATAATAATGATAATAAAATCAGAACCGAAAAATTCGGAAAAAACCCCTATGAAACCTAAACCCTAAACCATATACATCATCAAAACCTAAATTAAACAAACATTAAAGCGAAGAATAAAAGCAAAACTTCATGCTAATCGAACCAATTCACTACCCAATCGGTCTAGGGTTCATAAATTCAAAAAAGAAGAAGAAAAAAATTGTGCAAACCGAAGAAAATATATTATGCCAGATGAAGAAACGAGTAGGAGATGTAGTCTTGTGAACCCACCACATGATTGGACGAAGATTTGGGCAAAATCATGAATTGGGGGCTTAGGGTTTTTAGGTTAATCGATTAGGCAAAATCATGAATTGGGGGCTTAGGATTTTCAGGTTAATCGATTAGGTTATCAAATATAACCCTTCTGCCAAATGAGAGTTTTTTAAAAACGCATCTGAGGTTATTTAATCAATTAAACAACTGTGATTTAATCTATTTAATAACGGGGTCAATTGCCAAAATATTTTTTGACTGTTTAATCGATTATGCCCCATGTTGTAATCGATTACACATGGGCAGATAAGTGGAATATTTTGGGTGAGGAGCATAATGGTTATTTTTTAATGGGTAAATTACACAAAACCACCTTGTCCTTAGGTATTGTTTCAAAAAGGCACCTTAAACTTTCAATTAAATCAACTAACCCCCTTAAACTATGATATTAAAACAATTTAACATATTTAATAATATTAAGACAATAATACCCTTATTCTTAACCATAACTATTGCCACCACCGCCCTCGTCTCCATCTTGTCACCAGCTATAGTAGGAGAAATATAACAATTCGAAGAAGTAGAGAAAATGTAAGACTTGAAGTTACTTTTTACATGAAAAATCACAATGTTTAATGATTCATTCATCAATTAGAATTTTGAATTTTAATGGAACGAATGGAGTCTTCATACTCTTTTCCGGAAGAAGGTGGAGAAAGAAGCACCAGAGAGTCACTAGCAAAAACTGGGTCATCGTCCAAATGCTCCTCCTCCTTCTCAAATAGATGACCTCAAATCAATCTCCCTCACTATGTAGCTGTGCTTTTGAACCGCCTTCCCCACCTTGTCCGCCACATGCTTTTTCACCGCATGAGTGAGCTGGAAACACCAAGACAGATAACAGATTAGTTCAAGTTCAAGACAGCTTGAAATTTTGGTTCCAAAAGTGTTGTTTTTGCGAGGATAAAAAAAAGTGAAGAATTAGGGTTGTGGTGTTGCTAGCATTGGCTATCATATCTCAAGATTTTTACCCTGTATGATCAATTTGACGGAAGAGAGTGGACCGTCCTATGACATGCAAACGCAACTGGTGGTTGTGAGTGGGGTGGCATTGGGAACCTATTTGAGCCTTTGGACTTGACCCAAGAAAGTTATATGGAGAAGTGAGGCAGAGCAAATTATGGTGATAAGGTGGCGGCCGGAGGACCGTGGAGCAACATCAAGTTGTGTTGATTATGGTTATGGGTGGGTTAAGATTAAGTGTATTATTGTCTTAATGTTATTAAATATGTTAAATTATTTTGGAATTATAGTTTAAGGGGGTTAATTGATTCAATTGAAAGTTTATGGTGACCTTTTAAAACAACACATAAGTATAAGGTGATATTGTATAATTTACCATTTTTTAATTAATGAAGGGCAAAAAATCCACTTTTTTATGTGTGTGTAGATAAAACAATTTTGTCGGGTGCATTATTCAACATGATAAATATATTTTCCATTTTCACATTCTCATAATTTAATTGTAAAAAGATAGGAGAAGAATTATTGGAACAACCATGAGCTTTTGTAATCCGAAGGTGACAGATTCAAGTTAA